GAAAAAATAGTATAATCATACTTAAAAGACATTTTCACAATATACAATGTGTATTAAAATATTCTGACACACAGACAAAATGCCCTTGTAGTGTCACATTTAAAAACTATGATTATAGTTATTATTGTTCCAGTAGTTCACATAATACACTGCACTATATCCAATTAAACAGGACTAGTTATGCTCTCTTTTTTACAAAACCTGTGGTTACTCAATGTTCTTTAATTACCGATGATATCCACAATATGCTCAGAAAAGTGTTATCATTATGATCCCAATAACGATAAAATATTTTCATATTGCCCACCCCTATATCAAAGTTAACATATGACTGTCGACCTCTGATAGTTCCACTGATAGTCATCTTGATAAGACCAAAGTTATTTCCAGCTACTGCAAGGGATTTGTTTGTCAGTAAACAACATAATTTACAAGCAAAACACAATGCTGATGCAGCAATATCAGTTATATCAGTAACATTAGAATCGGAGGAAGAACACAGTGAACACAGCCTTCACATGAAATTAATGTTTTTTTTGTCCACTCATATAGCTATAACAAAATGTACTGCTTAAAATACTTTTTCTATTTCTATTTTGGGGATTTGGAGCCCTCTCTTGCGGAAATTATAATTACACTCAATGCAGAACAACGTTGTGTAACATGAGCTGTGCTTCAGAGCCCTTCCCCGAGCAGAAGAATCATGAATGTAAGTGTACTGAAAGATCTACTATTGTCATCATATCTTCATCAGTATAATGTTGTTTTTGCATTTGAGACTTGAACATCAAGCTGGGCCTCCTTTTTTGAGCCTGTGCATGTGACATGTAAAAACATATGATGTGGTCCAAAGAACCCTCACCAAACCTGATGCCTCTGACTTATACGTTATTTCAGTATTTACAGAGAGACTCACAGCAGTGCGCACACACCTATTTTAGTGTGTTTTTTTCTGACTTAGTAATGCTGCTCTTGCAATTAAAAAAAATCGTACACAGTGAAGCTTTAACTATACAAAATAATATGACGAGTTGATTAGTTATGCTTAATTATTTTAATCGTTTGACAGACCTAAAAGAACTTAATTGTACTAAATGGCCATTTTAACTGGATGTTTTTATAAATGAAAGGTGGTCTCTGACTTTTGCCCAGCACCGTATTAACATGAAAATGCTACATTTGTAAGAAATAACACACTGTAATGAAATTATTTGACTCGTCAATGTTATCTGTTATCCACATAAAGTGTGAAGGCTTTTCTGATATAAAACACTACAGTGTAAACGTCTTTAGTTAAACTAGATACTGATAAACATGTTGGTTGTTGGCAAACTGGCTGTTGGTAAACTCAAACGTCAGAGCTTACTTGTATACATTTAGGCCTATAGTCTAGACAGAAATAGCATAAAGCACTATGGTAATTGTAGCACAACAATTCAGCATTTATTCAATTGAAGGTGCCAAAAAAGAGAATTTCACACCCGATTCCATTTCCAAGAATACTTGGAGTACTGTGCTCATTTCATGCCTATGCTGTTTCCAAGCCGTTTTTCTTTTTAGGATGCTTTGCTTGCTAGTTAACTGAGAAGTGAATTAATATTTCAACATCATAACAGTAGAGGCCCACGACAGAGCACAAAGAAAAAGGATGAGGTAAAGTGCCTCTGCGTCTGTCTGACAGTCTGAGGGCAAGAGACAGACTGCTGTTAGTATGCTGAGCAGTGCTGCAAATGGCACAAGCATCCTAATCAGCCTCATTGAAGTTGCTGCTCTTAAAATAGACATCAGAACGATGTTTGTAGAGCCTACCTGAGTTAAAAAAAAGAGCCTCTACACATCTTCAAGTCGGGGAGAAATCAATCCTTCCCAGCTGGGCTTCTGTCTGAGTATATTTGTGTACTTGTGTGTGCTTGTCTATGTGGATTTTTGTATAACTTGTCACTGTAGTAACAAAAAATTGCTATTTAATTTTTTTTTTTTGTGGTTGATATTTTTAGACCATTTGAAAACATCAGTGTGTGAACATTTAATCAAAAATGGACGAACAGGAAAGGTCTAACACTGCTTAGCATAAAATATTTTTACCTTAATTGACTATACTGTGCAAAGGTCAGAAACTGCTTGACATTTATTTAAGGTCCAGTCAAAACATTTTTCAGACACTCTTATCCAGAGAGCCTTATGCTATCCTGAGTAAGATCATGTCTAAGAGGTAGACTAACACTGTGTTGGGAGTCTTGCCCAAGGACTCTTATTAGTATAGTGTGCTTGGCCAGGCAGGGAATTGAACCCTAGTCTGCTACATGGAGAGCAGCAGTATTAGTTCTCTACACCAACATATTTCTGTAAATATTAGATATATGATAACCCACGTGCATAAGAATCAGAATCACTTTATTTCATCAAGTGTGTAACACATACAAAGAATTAGTCTGGGTGAGTGCACAGATGTATGACATAAAATACTGAACAGACCAGATATGGACACAGACTATACCAAATATTTAACTAAGGGACAAATAAAAGAAGAATATAATAAATAGAATAGAAAATAATAAAGAATAATGTAGAACCAATGTGAGAGGAGCATAAAGGGATGTGTGAATATCTGGACATATGTGGATGTAAATGTCTATTCAAATGCTGGTCTGAGGAGATGTATAAAACTGTCGCTGTCCAAAGACAAAACATGTATCTTTTCTGCATCATTTGAATACATCAGCTGTCTTTCACATTGTGTGAATATTATATGATAAATGGACCAATAGGAATGCTCCAAAAGTGCTTGGAATAAAATCTCTTTACATTAACTTACATTGGAAGTAAAGAGTGTTTTTTCCCGTCCTGCAAATTTTGGAACCATTTTAGAGATTCTTGTTTTCTTTGGACAGTGACAACATAATATAACTATTATATACAGAATATTACAGAATGAAAACTTGTAAAGAAAATAAAATACAACCTGCACAGCTGTGCAAATTAGCATTATGTTACAGAGGAGCTACTGTAATGCATTAAGGGAAGTTTGTTAGTTCCAGTTTAAAATTAAAGTGCGAGGTGTCCACTGTGGTTGATGAGCACTACAGCTCTGGGGGAAAAAGCTGTTAACATGTCTAGCTGTGCTGGCTTTGATGGCCCTTGATCTTCTACCAGAGAGAAGTGTCTAAAAGAGGTGATGTCCAGGATGAGAGGGATCAGCTGTAATTTTGCCAGCAACCTTCATCATCCTGCTGTTGTAGATGTCCTGAAGCGTTGGCAGACTACATTTCTCTGCTGTTCTGATTATGTGCTGGAGTGTGTCTTATTCTTATAAGGTGGAGGAACCAAACTAGGTGGTTATGGATAGTGTGAGGACGGACTGAGTGATTGCTGTGTAGAACTGGATCATCAGACTTTGTGGTAGGTTCAGTTTCTTCAGCTGTCTGAGGAAGAACATTCTCTGCTGTGCTTTCTTGGCTTTAGAGAGCATGTTCCTTTCTCACTTCAGGTGCTTGGATATGGTGGTGCCCAGGAACTTGAGCGACTCCACAGTGGAAACCACAGAGCCACTGATGTTCAAGGGGAGGTAGGGAGCGCCAGTTGCGCCTGAAGTCCACCACCATCTCTACACTCTTTTGTGTGTTAAGCAGCAGGTGGTTGCTGCTGCACGAGGACACCAGCTGCTTGACTTCCTTTCTGTGGGTGGACTCATCACCATTCGCTATGAGGCACACCACAGTAGTGTGGTCGGCAAACTACAGGATCTTCCCAGCTTTTTCCTTAGAGGTCTTTGGTGTAGAGACTAAAGAGAAGGGATGTGAGCATGCAACCCTGTGGTACTCTGGTACTAAGAGGCTAGGAGTGAAAGGGGAATGGAAGGGAAGGGGAAAGTAAAAGGAAAAGAAGCAAAAAAAAAAACCAACACTGGAGCTAAAAAAACAACCTAGTGGTTGGAGAGATGAGGCAGCAACAAGAAGGTTGTGGGTTCAAATGCCAGGACTGACTATGTACACCTGCTTGTGCCCATGGGCAAGACACTTAACCAACTGCCCCAGGTGGCACTGCTCTGCTGGCAACCCTGTGCTGCTCCCACACTGGGCATAGTTTTACAATTTGCTCTTGTAGAATCTATAAAAGTACATAAACGTTATAGAGAAAATGGGACTCCTAAAGCTGTGTAAGACCTGGTAGATCACCAAAATCAGGTAAACTGTACTTAAACTCTTAAAATCCCAGGCTTGTTACATACTAAGGCTTACTATTCAGTAACTACAGGGACTTCAGTGCATGCTGTCTAAGCTATTGTTAGAGTTTAGAAGTGTATAATGAAAACTGGCCATTTAAGAGGTTAAACCTTTCATGTTTGAGAGACAGGAGAAAATCAGGCTCAACTCTTGCTTCAGATCTGAACAAAATCCACAGGTGATCCTTCCACTGTGAGAAGAAAACTCACCATTCTGGGTGTAAAGGATGTGTAGCTGTCAAAAAGATGATACTGAGAAAAAAAAAAACATTTCATGGGTAAGAAGAAAATCTGCAAATTATACAAAGAGGCTGCTGGCATTGTCAGAACAATGGACTGGCCACTCCAAGGTACAGATTTCAACATCACTGAATGTGTTCAGGATCAGTTGGATTGTGAGAACCAGAAAATGCATCCAGCTTCTAAAACTGAACTATCCTTGCAGATTTCTTTGCAAAACTGAAAGCAAGTCTCTCAAAAGTAATGGACGCTGTAATAAATGTAACAGGTGGGCACACTAAATATTGAAAATTTGTTGTTAAGGCACTTTCTGTTAAATATTTGTTTGCTGTTTTTTTCTTGATGCTAAAAAATGAATAACTTGTACTTGTATGAAATAAATAAAGGCTGGTCTCTGATTTTTGCCTAGTGCTCTAAACTGAAGAGCTTTTTCTCTTTTTCTCTTTCCTTTACTAAAGAGCATTTTTCTCTTTCCTGTCTGAAAGTAAGTGTATGTGTATCTGCCTGTGGCTGTGTGCAATAGAAAAAGTCCACTCACTTGTAGAGAACAGATCTGTTGTGAACTGGAATCATCTGGTCTATGAAGTAGCCAGGATACAGCACTGAAATCCCAATGAGCCTCTGGACTATCAGCTGAGGTTGGAAGAGGTACTGACATTCTTCATGAAGACCCTAAAGAACAAGACAAAGAACAGAATCAAGCAGTCAGTCAATTTTAAGCACACCAAACAGAATCTGATCGGCAGTGTCGGGGCATACTTGGCTGCAAAATGAAATAAAATTGCAAAGAAAAGAACAGTGAGACCCAGAACCTGCCAAGAACCAGTTACTATGTTACTGTCTTAACTATAAAGAGTTATCACGAAAGCATTGCTTCCCATAACTGCCATCCATCACTCTGTTGTGTGACAGCACCTTTGCCTGACGCTGCTTGGCAGCTCACACCTCACACTGCAGAAAGAGATCAAACACAAGACTCGCAGCAAGTGACACGTATGATATTTATTGCACAATGACATGATCTTCAAAGGATATAGACCTGTGATGTTACACAACTGTATAATGAGAACAAAAAAATGGTAATAATTTGTTATTTTTAACTTGTTAACTCATTCTTTAAATAGAACCAGGTTGCAGGTTCTGTGTGCTCTCATTAAAAGGTTCACAGTTTTAAGTTTTTCATGTGATTACTGTAGAAAATAATGTGAATTTGTACTGCTTCTTCACTATCTTAGACATAGCCAGTACCCCTGCAATCATGCTTTTGAAGATGTCCTAGCATGGTGCCCTGTTGAACACCACTTTTTTCTCTTGGATTTAATCAAGCTTAGAGCACTCGGCTGTCTAGGCTTTTATTCATCTCTTAAAACGATCTCAAAAAGCCTTAAAGCCAGCTAGATGTACCATCCTTAAGTAATACTGTGATTTTGTAAAGTTTTCTTGTGAAAAATTTGCTTTAACCCAAGCATTCCCACTCTCAATCAATAACTACCCTAGATACTGTATGTCCACAGTTGTATAACTCTGTTCAGTACTTGTAAAACCAAACCACCAGTTTCCTTTCATGTTTCAAACATATACAGAAAAGGAAACAAGTGATCACACTGCCAAGAAACACTTTCAGTTCTTGCTCCAGGACTGCCTGTACCAGACCTGCGACTACAAGAAACAAGATCCACAGCTGATGCTAGCCTTTTGTGGGAGCCCATGGTGGAGGATCACAGTGGGCCCATGATGCCGGGAGATCTATATTAGTTTCGCAAGTGGTAAAAGGCACGTTCATTTCAGCAGGAGCCAGAGGTGTTGAGGGCCCCAATTAAAGAGCAGATGAGCTGTATAGATTTGCAAGGACATATTTTCACGGGGAGATTGCACAGCGGGATGAGGTGAGGGAGGAAGGGAAGGAGAAGAGGGAAGGAGGTTGGAGGCGAAGGGAAGGCGGGGGGTGCCTAGGAGCTTGTGTTATTTATTACGGTACACCCTGCCAAATTACAATGCAGCATTTCATCATTCACCCCCTGGCCTCTCTCTCGCAGGTACCCCTGCCCTCAAAGACATTCATCACTGTCGAGCAGCTAGCAACCACCTCCCCCCTTCCTCCTCGTTCCCCTCCTCCTCCTCTTCCTCCTCCCTCCATCCCGTTAGAGCTTCCTACAGTACCCAGTTTTGTTCCGAGAACGGAAATTCTCCCCACACATCTCCTGTACACAATTACCCAGAACCCACAGGTGCAAGCAATCCAGTGCCCTGGCAGAAAAAAGGAACACCTATCTATTTTTCCATTGACTTCCACTGTCACGGTTCAGAGGATGGTTCGATGTAGCAGAGGTTTTTTGTTGCAATGTGGCATACTGTACTTTTCACCTGCAATGATGGAAGAAAGTTGTTGACCAATTCTCATATGCTCTGTACCTTGCGGCGCTCCTGTCAAAGACCCTGCTGCAAATCACCCGCGGTTTCCCGTCTAGGTCACTCAGCCATGTTATTACTACATAAGGTAGCGAACGAGCGGCTGATTTATCGCCGGACCTGTCAACTCAGTACGCTAAAACAATAACGCAGAGAGTGGCAGTCCCTGGCAACTACTGCCAACTACTTTCACTGCTGAAACGCCAATCGACAAAGAAAGGAGAAGAAAGAACTAATTGGCTTGCGGTGGTGTGCAGTTAATTATACAACGCTTTTCACTGCCTCGGTGGTTATCTCATAATTAGATCTTCATTAATTCTTCAACACAAAAGCATGTCGAATGTATTTTTTTTAGGAAAAAAAAAAGCAAGAGATCAACAAAGACGATTGTGTTTGTACAGGAAGCTGGAACATGTCCCATTGTTGCCTGGTGTTGTGGAGAACATGCTTAACAATGGCCAAGTACCTGGTTCACAGTGATTAAACCCTGCTATTGGCATTGCATATTCATTAGGTTCTTCGTTAACTTCATGGTAACTTCAAGTGCCCTGAATGATTTATGTTTTAGATGATTTCAAAGACGTTCACCAATAACAGAAATGTAATTGCGGTAAACCACATCAAAAGGGAATATTACATCCAAAAAATGGTCTGAATAGTACAGATGCATTTATATCTGTATCTAGATGCTGTTAATCTACAGTAAATATTATTACCTCAGGTAATGATAGGAAACACTTCATTATTTCACTTTCAGGCGAAATGTGCTAAAACAGTCGGGCAACTGAAAAAAAAACGGCATCATCATGGCTTCATCCATATATTCCATTAAACTGTCCTATAGTTGCTCATCTTCCATTATATCGGAATCCAGCTTGCATAGGCTTTATGGACACTTCAACTAAGAATATTATAATGTCATGTTCATACACATAGGCCTATTGTAAGAACACCTTAGCATATAAGCTCCTTTAACTCTTAGCTCCTTCAGTTGCCTTGGCATGCTGGAGGGCATCCACGCTAATGGTGATGAAACACATTCTCATTTCATTACGACCTATTTCGAGGATCCGCTTCGCTGGGCAGGTGTCATTGCCCGGGCCGTTTGTGGAGTCATGCATTGCTCATTATCTCTCATGTATTATCAAGGTCTAATTCACTATCGGCTTGATTAGCGGGCTCATTCATTTTGCTACTGGCCGTCCAGCAATCACTTATCCTGCCAGCCACCAGCGCTAAAATAGTCTCACCATGTGGTATCTGTCTATTGTGTAATGACTGAGACCTTGTGTCTGGACATGCAGAGGACAATTTATTGTCAGCATGACGGGGAGCTTCCCGTTGGCACTTTTTTCATTTCCGTATTGTTGCGATGCTAATTGGCATGGCATTGCCAGTAACAAAGGCATGGTGTAATTCAATATTGAAACAAGTGGAGAAATTTTGTCAAAAGTGAAGATCTTTCAGTTGTTTAAGATATTTCAGTTAATACCACATTTGTGTTTGCAATTACAAGATCCGCTATATGCCGAAAGGTTTCTGGACACCCCTTCTAATTATTGAGTTCAGATGTTTCAGCCACACCCATTGCTAACAGATGTATAAAATCAAGCACATAGCCATGCAATCTCCATTGACAAACTCTGGCAGTAGAATAGGTTGTACTAAAGAGCTCAGTAACTTTAAGCATGGCTCTGTCAAAGGATGCCACCTTATAAGTCAGTTCATTAAATATCTACCCTGCCAGGTCAACCCTAGTTAACTGTAAGTGCTATTATATTGAAACAGGAGCATCTAAGAATGACAACAGCTCAGCTAAGAAGTGGAAGACCACAAAAACTCCCAAAGTGGGGCCAAGCACTGAAGTGCATAGCACATGCAAATCATCTATCCTCTGTTGTACCACCCACTACAGAGTTCCAATCTGCCTCTGGAAGCAACATCAGCACAAGAACTGTGTATCAGGAGCTTCATGAAGTGGCTTTCCATAGACAAGTAGCATACAAACCTAAGATTACTATGCAATGCCAAGCATCAGCTGGAGTCTAAAGACTCTAGAGCAGTGAAAAACGTTCTCTGAAGTGATGAATCATGATCTGGCAGCCTGATGGTCGAATCTGGGTGTGGTGGATGCCAAGAGAACGCTACCAACTGGAATGCATCATGCCAAACACTAATGTTTGGTGGAGAAGGGATAATGGTCTGGGGCTGTTTTTCAGTGTTATGACCCCTTAGTTCCAGTAAAGGATGAAGTTAATGCTACATATCAGGCAATTTTATGATTCTAACTTTTGGGGAAAGCAAAAATGGCAATAGTGAGCTGTTGCTTGCCAAATAGTGAGCCCACATTTATCTGTGTTAAATCTTGCTGGTTACTTATCTTACTTTGTCCTCTTCACCAGTCAGCTTCGTCAGATACTCATATTCATCAGATAAAAAAAATAATTAATAAACCAACTTGAAAACCATTCATGAACCCTAGAAGTGCTAACTTGAACCTGACAATACAGTATGTGAAACAAGGCACTGTGTAACAATGTATTCAAATATGTACTCCTGCACTTAAACTAGATTCTCTAAGGGTTAAACATAGTAGGTTTGGGTGCTACAAAGCATATGTTAGATGATACAGTTCCCCGTCTGCCAATGCCCTCCTGGGTCTTTTTTCTCTATTACAGAGGTGGCTGATTCTTGATTTGCTCCCCGCTAAGCAAACAGAAAAAGGCATCCGTCCTAGAATCAAAATGGCGGAACAGCGCTGACGGCAGGATAATAAGGATGGAAAGGGAAGCTAAAACCACTGCCACCATTAAATAACAAACTGGAGAAGAAGCCCCATCTGTTGTTTGTGCATGGCTGCATGCATAAAGTACAGCCACAGCTGGTGCTGAAGGAGGCAGACGTAGCCTTGCCTTCAAACCTCCGTGCTCCCCTCCCCCAGCGGCCACTGTCCTCTCCCCGCCTCATGCTGGTATTGTCTCCAAGTTGTGAAATATGTCAGCTCGACCAGCACGGCGTTCTCCGAAAACCTCATTTGGATGCTCTGATTGGGCGGCTCAACTATGTCAGGAGGAAGATAAAGCTGACACAAGAGAGAGAGAGACAGAGTGAGGGATATAGAAGAAACTAATAACTGCCAGAATGAGAAGGAGCCCATATGCTGCCGCTTATGCCTCAGCGCTGCTTGTTTGCTCTTTTGCTGATGCTGCTTTTTGGAAAACAAAGTGGTACAAATGTCCACAACTATATGAGGAACCAAACTG